TCCGAATTGTGTTTTGGAGTTCTGTAATTCATTTAGGCTTGAAATGGCGAAAGTCGAAATTTTGGAGATTTTGACCGATAGTGAAATTTTTGATACCGAGGTCGGATTCCGATTCCTAAAGTTGGAATAGGTCTGTAGGGTTGAATACGACTTGTGTGCAAAATTTGGGGTCAATCAGACGTGGTTTGGTTGGTTTCGGCATAAGTTGTCGAATTTGGAAGTTTCAAGTTCTTTAGGTTTGAATCGGAGGATGATTTGTGATTTTAGCGTTGTTTGATGTGGTTTGAGGGCTCGACTAAGTTCGTATGGTGTTTTAGGATTGGGTGGTATGTTTGGTTGAGGTCTCGGGGGCCTCGGGTGTGTTTCGAATGCTTAACGGATGGAAATTTTGACTTACGCAATATCTGATGTTGCTAGTTTCTGGTGTTTCGCACCTGCGTTCGGTGGGGAGACCGTAGGTGCGGACTCGCACATACTGAGAGAAGGGCGCAGGTGCGCTTTTAGTCATGAGAGCCTGTGAGCACAGATGCGAGATGAGGGCCACATCTGCACATCCGCAGATGCGGTGTGGTGGTCGCAGAAGCGGATTTGGGCAGGAAGCTGAGGTGGTCAAGGTTCCGCAGAAGCGGGCAAGTGAGCGCAGAAGCGCGTCCGCAGGTGTAGAGGGTAGTGCGCAGGTGCGAAGCCTGGGAGTTTAATGAAACTCCGTAGGTGCGGAGTCTTAGCCGCAAAAGCGGTACCGCAGGTGTGGTTGAAGGCTCGAAGATGCGAGTTTCCTGGCAGAAAAAATGACCAAATCGAGGGTTTTATCTCATTTCAATTCTTGGGACTTTGAGAGCTCGGATTAAGGCGAGATTTTGAGGGATTTTCACAGGAAGCTTGTGGGTAACGATTCTTAACTCCTTTATGATTATATTCCTCTAATCTATGGTTGATTTCATCATCTAATTAAGAAATTTGGTTGAGAAATTTGGGAAAAATGGGAAGAAGTTCTTCAACTAAGATTTTGGGTTTTGATTGAGATTTTGACATCGGATTTAGATGATTTTTGTACAAGTGAACTCGTGAGTGAATGGGTGTTCATATTTTATGACTTTTACCCGATTCGGAGACGTGGGCCCCGGGAGACGTTTTAGGGCGATTTTCCAATTACTTGTTGTAACGACCCGGCCGGTCATTTTGAGAATTAGATCCCTGATCCCCTAATATCTGCTTTCTCCATATTTGTTTATGCTTTTGGGATTTGCCGGAATGTTTGGTTATGGAATTCGGGGAGTTTTGGGATACTTAGTCCCTAGTTGTGAGTTTAAGCCTTAGAGTTTGGACCATAGTCAGAATTGTGTGAAAACGGATCCGGAATGAAATTCAGTCGACTCCGTTAGCTTCGTTGAGTGATTTTGGGGATAGGAGCGCGTCCGGAATGTGTTTTGGAGGTCTATAGTGGATTTAAGCTTGAATTGGCGAAAGTTAGTTTTTCGGCGATTTCGGTCGATAGTGAAAATTTTGATATCAAGCTCGGAATGGAATTCCGAAAGTGGATGTAGGTTCGTAATGTCATTTTTGACCTGTGTGTAAAATTTAAGGTCATTCGGACTAGATTTGATGTGGTACGGTATCGTTTGTAGAATTTGAAAAATTCTTAAATTCTTAGGTTTGAATCTGTGCTTAATTCATGATTTTTGGTGTTGTTCGATGTGGTTTGAAGGCTCGACTAAGTTCGTATAGTGTTTTAGGATTGGTTGGTATGTTTAGTTGAGATCCCGGGGGCCTCGGGTGTGTTTCGGATACTTAACGGGATGAATTTGGACTTAGGAAAAATCTGGTGCTTTTTGCTGGTTCTGCTATAATCGCATTTGCGCAAGGCTGCCCGCAGGTGCGAGAAAATTGGCGCAGAAGCAGAGTTTGGTGGATTGGTCAGGGGTCGCAGGTGCGTGGAAAAAGGCCGCATCTGCGATGCCCGCAAATGCGCAAGATGCGCAGAAGCGGAAGGGATTTCCGCAGGTGTGGCCCTTTCATCGCAGGTGCGAAGGCAGAGGTGGGCAAGTGAATTGCGCAGATGCGCACTTTATCCGCACAAGCGACCCAGGTTCCGCAGGTGCGGAAATACCTGGGCAGTGGTTAAAACCGAAGGGCTTCGTGATTTTTGTCATTTTTGACTTTACAAACTCGGTTTAGGGCGATTTTTGAGAGCATTTTCGAGACATTTCTTGAGGTAAGTCCCTTGTGCTTATTTTTTATCAATAATCTTGCTTTGCCATGTATTTTCCTACCTAGTTAGTGTGTATTTAAGGTGGAAATTGGAATTTAGAGGCTAGGGATTTGAAAGTTTGATTTGTGGATATTGTGGACCATTTGGTATCGGATTTTAGTAAATTTGATATGGTTAGACTCGTGAGTGAATGGGTGTTCAAAATTTATAATTTTTTACCCGATTCCGAGGCGTGGGACCGGAAAGACTTTTTGGGCGTTTTTTTTCTAATTTCACGCTTTAGCTTCGAATTAATTAGCTAAATTAGTTACTTGTAGTTATATTTACATTATGCAATTAATTTAAATAGATCCAGTCCATTTGGAGTCGGATACTCGTGGCAAGAACGTGATATCGAGTTGATTTAAGCGGTTCGAGGTAAGTGGCTTACCTAACCTTGTGTTGGGGACTTTCCCCTTAGGATGTTCGATATTAATTGGTGTGTGGGCGCTGTGTACGTGAGGTGACGAGTACGTACACGGACTATTATTGCAAAAATATCGTTTTTCCTTTCTAAATCATAAACTGTTTTTCCTTATTAAATTGCACTAATATGTTTAATTGTTAAACTTAGACTAGAGAAGCATGCTTACGTGTTTTAACTGCCTATTTGACATTCTGTGCGTCATGCTTAGTTAAGTCCCTATTTTCCTTATATGTGTTCAGTATAAACTGTATAACTCGATGCTATACCTGTCATTTCATCTTGAGTTGCATATTTAAATTGGGACTATGGACGTATTCCGGGAGATCCCCATGTACTGCATATTTACTTTGGGATTACGAACGTATTCCGAGAGATTCTTCAGCACTGCATATTTACATTGGGTCTACGGACGTATTCTGGGAGATCCCCCAGCACTGCATATTTACTTTGGGACTACGGGACGGTATCCCGAGAGATTCCCCACTGTGTTTACCTTGTTCTGAGCCGAGGACTCCCTTAACTGTTAAATTTTCAAGAATTTCTTTAACTATGTTACCGTAAATTTTACTTATATCTTTTACTGTTTAATTTATTATATTTACTCCGGTAGGACCTTAACCCGACCTCGTCATTACTCGACCAAGGTTAGGCTTGGCACTTACTGGGTACCATTGTGGTGTACTCATGCCCTTCCTTGCACATGTTTTCGTGTGCAGATCCAGGTGCGAGCTATCAGCCTCGGGGTTAGTGTGTGCTGCTGATTCTAGGAGACTTCAAGATACTACTGCTTGCGTCCGCAGATCTTCGGAGTCTCCTTCTACTCCCTCGTAGAGACTTTCTTTATTATCTTTAGACTTTTGTATAGAGCTACATAAATTATAGCAACTTGTGACTTAATGATATTCCAGGTCTTGGGAAATCATTTTGTATATGCTGAGTGGTACTACTCTTGGCTATTCACAATATGCTGTTTATCTTTAAAATGTTGTGTTTTCTTTATATTTTTCGTAATATTAGGTTTACCTAGTCGTAAAGCAGGTGCCATCACGACACCTTGCGGAGGGCTAATTTGGATCGTGACAAGTTGGTATCAAAGCACTCAAAGAACGGGTTGAAGAACTCATCTCACGTTTTTCCACTCAAAGAAAGGGAGAAAAGAGAATACTTGAACACAATAAAATAAAAGAATATTAAAAGCTTTTATTGAATACGTATGTGAAGAGCTGAAGATATATTAAGGCATATGAAAAAATCGACTTTTGTTGGTTTGGTCAATAAACTCTTTATCATATGCTATGTTTTACTTTATTTAATCTTAGAAAGATCGTGGCTTAGAATGAGAAGAGAAAGTGAAAGAAAAATCATCTCTAACACAAGCTGCAATCACATGCATGTAGCATATAATAATTGGGTTAAAAAGAACCCAGTGTGTTGGACAATATACGTATATATATATA